GACTCTTTGCCTTCAAGGCTTAGGTTCGATTCCTGCATCCAGCAATCTCCTCCTTGGTGGGCAATCTATAATTCCAATGTAAGTCCTTGCTAAGGCTGCGGCTTGCCTTGGCCTTGGACTTGGACTGGGGTAGCCTCCCCTCACCTAAACTTCTATTTACCAAAACTAGATAAATAAATAAATAAATAAGATAATGATTTACCTGCTGTTATACGTAAGTGTGTGCTGGTTCAATTTGAAATTAGCCTCTGATATTTTATGGTAGATATGCTTTTTGTAGCATGAACATTAACCAATGGATATTGATACCATTAGTCCTAGATAGGGACATTATACTACTTTTGTTAAAGCTGATATATCATATTATTATTATACCAGAAGTTCAGAAAATCTGATTCTGTGTACATAAATCACATGTTGACCTTTGATAATTTTTTTTACTCCATGAAGAATCCCTCAATGACAATGTCCGTCTTCTTTTGAAGGATGGGAATTTCGTATCTATAAAGGTACGGATTTTAAGGTTTTCATGCTCTATGGAAATTTTAAGGCAGGCATCCCAGAGCCTCATAAATGGAAATGATTCAGGAATAGTTTTTCTAGGATACAGAACCATTTATCCGTGGCAATAGCATTACCTAATTTTATATGAAAAGCACAAAATTGTTGGGAGAATTTATTTTTTTATTGGCAACAGAATTTTAAGATACAAAATTATCCATATCTCTTCTCGTAAATGGGTATAGGAATTATCCTTGAATCACTCAATTCCTTCATTAAGACAAATAAATTAAATATATATATATATATATGCTGAAAAGTAAAATTTTGAGGTATTTTGCGAACTAGCTCAAATGGTTTTGTTATCTTCATTAGGTAATGAAGACAATGTTACTGGTCTGACATGGTAAACAGAATATAGGGACTGGTTGGTGTTTCTTAGGGTCAGGGTGGTGGAGTGGCGAATTTGTTTTTGAGGTACTTCGAAAAGAAAGATGAGAAGAAGATCCTGGGAAGCTCTCCTTGGGTCCTCTAGGCATCACAGCTAAGGTTATAGTTGCATCACGCACACTCCCGATTAAAACTTCAAAGCTCCTGAAAATTCTCTAGACTGATGTTCATTGGATTGAGAGAATTGCATTACTATATATAGACTCTTAGCTACTTCAAATGCTGTTAGAACTTAAGAGCATCGCCATCTAACTAGCTATTTCAATTTTTTAGCTAAAATAGTGAGTAAATCACCAAATTCTCTACTCCCATCAAACTAGTTATCAAGTTAGGTATTTTAGTTTTGGTACTTTAGGCTCAACAAATGTAGTAGTGGTTTTTACTAGTCGAACATTAAAATAACATATTACTTCTGATATTTTGGAGTTGGTTGTATTGGGTTCATAAAAAAGAATTTTAAATTAAAAAGAATAAAATGAATATTTAAAAAGAATAGAGAAAAAATAGAGAATTTGTTGGAGAGATTTAAAAAAGTGACTAACCAAAATAGAAAGTAGCTTTTTTGCTAAAATTTAACAAAATATTTAGCTAGTTTGATAAAGAGAATTTATATAGACTTGCCAAAATTCAAAAATAAAAACAGTTTGACCATAATACCTTGGCTCAACTTAATAAAGCATAAATTTATCAAAGCTAGCAGCATGTCTTAGAATATATAGACGCTGATTCAAAACAACCTGAAATCATACCCAATCATTATTACGAGTTGTCTTGTTTAAATTTGCATTGCCTGTTGTGTTATGAACTGCATCATCACATATCATTCTTATGCTTGTTTAAATACATTACTTTGATGTTTTTACTGGAAAATTATATAAAATCTTGTGCTTAAAAATATATTTTCTTTCACATATTTTTCTCCCCTTCTTACAATTTTCATCCAACTTTTTACTTTCTAGTTGGTTCTTTTTGTTTCCTTTTGTATATGTTCCGTGTGCATGCATAGAAAACTCTCTTTTTTGAGTTGAAAAATGTAATAATTTTGCTGACCATATCTTTGTTATGGAAGTAAGGAATGTTTGCACCCTTTCATCTTCTCTACAATTATTGGACCCATATATGACTTTTCCCTTTCAGACTGAGGGATCGCCTAGTCAAAATCATAACAGACTACAGAACAGAAACTTCTCTTAGACATGGATGTAATGATATTCTTAAGGTACTACTACGCTTCGTGTGCGATTATTCTTTGCAGTACTTCCTTGATTTCCTCCTTTTAAAACTGATTGAAAATTGACAATTTGGCGTTACTTTTAAAATGGCAGGCTGATTGTGTTAACCTGTTGATCAAATACTATAAAGAAGCAAGGCGTGCCATTTACTTGAGCAACGAAGAAGACGAAACACGAGCTAAAAGGAATGACAGTAGTAGTAGGGCTTCTCAGACTGAGATCATGAAAACCACGGAGGTTAAGTCGAAAACTAAGGGAGGTGGAAGGTGTTGCATTTGTTTTGATCCCTTCTCTATACAGAATGTATCAATCATTGTATTCTTTTGCTGTCACACGTATCACACAACTTGTCTTTTGGATTCTATCAATGCGGTTCTTGCCAAGAAAGAGGCAGCCAGACCTACTTCTCGGGACACGGAATTGTATTATCAATACGAAAATGGTGATGGTGATGTTGATGATGATGACGAGGATGGTAATACTGCTTCAGGTGCCCCTCGGATGCGTTGTATTTTGTGTACCACAGCTTCAAGTTGAGTATAAGGTGTGTGAGTGTGTGTGTGCCCTGCGATGTGTTTTTCTCGTGGTGTGTGTCCACTTATGTATATTAGGTTTTTGTTTGTCTGTTGTTGATGGGCTTTTTGTATTTTAATTTATTTTTTTGGCGAGAATTTTGATTTTCTGGCCTCTTAATTGTTTCTTTGGCTTCAGTTTTCTGTGACTAGCTTTTGCATATTTTATGGGGTGGGTCTGATTACTTTGATGTCTGATATATAGAAAAAAAGAAAAAGATTAGTTCAATATGTGTTGAGAAGTAATTGGAGTATTATTGATGTAGTTTGAACAGTTTGGTTGCCACATACTGATGCGTAATATTCCATAGTGGTTTCAAACCTCATATAGAATTCATACAGATTTTTATTATTGTTATTTTTTATACAGAATGATTTGATAAATAATCATTTAAAAACAAAATTCAACTTTTTTATAAAAAAATTGTCATTAATTGTGGCTTTTTTTTAATAAATAAATTTTGTGAAAACTAACAATACATTTAACAAATTATTTTTAAGAACTATGGGGTGTGGTTGCGGGGTTGGGGGAGGGTGGTGAGGGACTGGGTGGCTGCCGGAGCTGTGGAGGAGGCTAGAGGGCAGCGGTTGGATCTGTTGTGGTGGGTGATTGGTTGGATGGGGGTAGGGAGGATTAAAATTAGGGTTTGGGAGTTAAGTAATGGCGGTAGAAATAGATTTTATGAATGATTAAAATTATAATAGATTTTTCTATGGTCATTTGGGGTTGAAAAAATAATTTTTGGGTGCTAAAATTATGATAAAATTTTGTATGGTCATGTGGGGTCGAAAGAATAATTTTTGGGTGCTAGTAGATTTTTTTTGGGGGATTTCTCATTAATTCATAAATAACTACCCCCACTTTCCAATTTTTTTTAGTAATTCTCCTTTACTTTTAGAAAGGGAAAATTGTATAGGGGATATTATCAGTGGTAACAGGGGAAATGTATTATAAAATCATGAAAATGTTTATAATTTTAATTATAAATATTTATAAAGTTTATTATTTATTTATAATTATTTTTTAAAAATCAACTGAATTCTAATTTTTTTTTATAATTATATTAAAGCGTGTGAGCTCATCTGATGGATGTACTTAAAATACAAATTTTAATTTTGAATTGAAAACATATCTTCTATGTTGTTTAAGTGGCAAAAATGTTATTTATTAAGTTAATCAATGGTCATAGATTTAAGTCTTATATCCCTCTTGTAGCTATTATGTTTTTTTTCTTTTTGAATGGAAAAATTGACACTTGGTGCAAAGACAGAAGACTACTTAGCAAAAGGAGATAAAAATTTTGAATAGAAAAATTGACCCCTGAACTGAAGGAGATAAAGAATTTTGAATGGAAAAATTAACACTTGGTGCGAAGATAAAAGACCACTTGACAAAAGGAGAAAGAAATTGATGGACACCAAGTGAGTTGTTCATTTTTAATAACAGTATAGATAGTATAGATATTAGTGTAGTTTTTTTTTTTTTAAAAAAAAATTACAAATTAATTGTAACATTTATAAATATTAATAATTAAAATCATAAGATTTTTATGTGTAATTTTTTTTAAATACATTTAATTGTAAAATAAAATGAAGCAACTACTTCCAGATATCCTATGGCTTGGATAAGAGAAAAGTATACGCGAGGATGCGTATGAAATTAAACGAAAGGGGGAATTATACTTTTCACTTTGTACAAATTTTCATTTTGATTTTTACACATGAAATTGTGACAATTAAATATTAATATCTCTCTTTTTGTTATCCTCCATGTACATTTTTAACAAAAATTAAGAATGTAACAAACATATGACTACAAAATGAGGACAAATACGAAAAATCACTCTCTTTTCTCGCCACATTTTATCTCAAAATTTATGTCAAATTATGACTATATTTAGTTAAAATAAAATACAGATTATGAACGATTAAGGAGATAAACTAAGGCCTCGTTTGTCAACTATATATTTTAGTTAAAAAGTAAAAGAGTCACTATAAATTGTCACATCACTCTCTATTTTTTTGCAAATCTTTTTTTAAAAAGTCAAAAAATACGAAAATAGTCTGTTTCCAAACGAGGCGTAAGATTTTGTAAAAATTGAAATTACAAAACTCTGTGTTTCATAAGTGGTAAATATGTTCTTAATCAAACCTAAGATCTTTAGTTCAAAATTTACTTACGCGCTTTGTATAATAATTTTTTTTATTTTAGGCCTCGTTTGGGAATAGGTTAATTTATTAACTTTTTGACTATTTGGCTAAAATATGAGCTAAAAAAAACTAGTATGTTTGGGATGATTTTTTGACTTTTTACAAAAAAATGTGCAAAAAGTAGAGAGAAAAGAAAATTTTTGACTTTTTGACATGGGTTGTTGGCTTTTTGACTTTTTTAATAATTTTTTGACTTTTTAACTAAACCGGCTTGTTGACAAACGAGACCTTAGCATACAAAAAATTGCTACGTGGCATGAAAAGAATAAAGCTTTACTAAACCAATTGAGACCTTTGCTAAATAATAGTATAGATAGATAATAGTATAAATAGATGTGTTTGTGTGATAGAAATTGAATTGATAAATTGTGGAGTCTACATATAAAATGAATCTAAGCTATTAAATTATTTTTTTAAAAAATAGATTCTAAATTGATAAGAATGGATTTGTAATATTGTTCACTGTGTTTGGTTTCAATTTTTTGAAAATTAAATTTTTTATTTTTCATATATTTTTTTATTTTTAGTAAATTTTTTTTAAATTTTAAGCAAGTTTTTATTATTTTTTTAGATGTATCTTACTTAAATGTATTTAAAAAGTAATTTTTTTTAAAAAATCAATAAATACACAAGAATATGAAAAATGTACTGAATTTTTATATATTTTTGATATTTAATGAATTTCTCAATTTTTTTTCACAAATATTATATTTTAAATATATTTATGTTAAGTGTATTAAATTTTTTCATGAATTATTAAAAATATTAAAAAATATAAAGAATACAAATTTTTAATTTTTAAAAAATAAATTTAGAAAATTCAAACTAAGTGTTTGTTTGGCAATGACTTTTTTAGTTGGTTTTTTAATTTTTTTAACTTTTTTAACCTGAGACTTTTTTAATCGTTTGGTATTCTTGATTGATTTTTTTAGTTTTTTAACTTTAGAATAGTAGATTTTTTTTGTCTTTTTATGATTTTTGTCATTTTATAATTTTTGAACTTTTTTTTTTTTTTGATCTTGTTGTAATTTTTTAACCTAATGGGTTTGCCAAACGACCCCTAAACCAACTGAATTGATAACCAAAGTTCTGAAAGTAAAAAAGCAACAACTCTACTTTCCCCCCCAGTTTACTCTTTATATAAGAAGGGTTCTAGGGTTTCGCTTCAATTCAACTCCGACACCGCCAGAGTACCCTCCCTCTCTCTCTCTCTCTCTCTCTCATTACTCTAGGGTTCTGAGGGTTCGAGATCTTCCATCGAACCTCCATTGCAAGCCCAACCACAGCTTCTCTAACTCTTCGACGTCGTCAAAGGCCTCCGCTTCCAGATCCGAGCCTCCCACTAACCCTACTACTACGGTATTCTCTCTCTCTCTCTCTCTCTCTCTCTCTCTCTCTCTCTCTATGTATTATACTAGAAGTTAGGATAGATTGGTTCCTTTCTGAGAATAAGATTGTGAAAGTCTAATTTGGACTCAAACTTTGAAAACTGAACCAGGTTTTTATGTTGTGTAGAGAAATTTTAGTTTTCATGTTTGGTCACGGAATTTAAGAACCGAATTTATTAAGATTGTGAATAGTCCATTGGATCCAAAATTTGAAAACTCAAGCAGTCTATTGAGTTGTGCAGAGAAATTTTGATCACAGAGTTTAAGAAACTCAATCTGTCATTCGTGGCGCAAAATTGGTAACAAAAGAAATTCAACGGAGTTGGGTGTTCAAATTATATAATAGAATAGATGCATTAGCGGTTATATTATGAAAATAAAGATGTTTTTGTTGTTTCAACTTTAAAACTGTATAGTTTTTTAAACTTACCGAATTTTTAACGTACATATGATTCATATTTGTAGTTATGTATAATGTAACAGGCTAAGTAAATGGAATTTATCAATCTTTAATGTTTGAAAAAATTAGTGAAACATTTAACTTTAACTTTTTGTGGCAGGAGAGATCAAGATTTTATTTTATTAGTTAAGTTTTTTCGATGAAATTTCTCTACGACCATGTCAGGAATTTTTTTTGAAATAACTCTATGAAATGAGAGAAATTTCTCAGCTGTGTTTGGTTATGTTGTGTTTCAAACACATTTTCACTCTCTAATTTGATTATGGTGTTTGTTTTGACCTTTCAAATTATAATTTTACACTCACTTTTGAAAACTTCTTTTTCAGGTGGGAAAATTTGGCTAATTTGGTTGTCCTCTTGGACGTCTGGCCGGTTGATCTGAACAGTGTTCGTGTTTTTTTTTTTTTTTCACCTGTTATTTTTATATTGTAAATAAAGAATATTTTTGAATATTTTTTAACTTTTATATGAGCTTTAAATAGAATTTTGAATTGTATGTTTAGTTATGAGTTGTAAGTTTTTAAATCAAATAACTTTTCTAATCTTAAAAATTCAAAATTTCTCCAAAACTCAATTCAAAACTCATAATCAAACAAATTTTTTACACTCAAATTGAAGTTTTAACTGTTTTTTATTATTTTATTTTTTTTTACAGAAAAATCCTCCCACTCTCCCGCAGGTCCAAGGCAGCGCCCCTTGAGGAGATCACCAGGGTGTCCTCTTGTCTGTACCTGGAAGCTTGTCCCGCAGGTCCAAGGCAGCGCCCCTTAAGAGATTATAACCTGGAAGCTTGTCCCGACCTCCCAAGACAAGTTCCGCTTAAATCAGGACTCGCACAGCGGGGGAGAATTCACTTTGTTATTTTTAAGTTTTATTAGTTCATCGGTTTAATAGCAAATGTAATTTGGCTCCTTTCTAACTCTACAAGGCCAAGTAAGTGGAATTTATAATTTTTTTTTTCTAAATATTTAATTTGTTTTATGGTTTTTTATTTTTTTTTTGTATGCTAAATTTTAAATTATTTAATTTAGCTGGTATTTTATTATTTTTATGGATGTTTTTACTGGGTTTTTATTTCTGTGTTTTAATTTTTAAATTGTTGTTTCCAACTATTGTTTCAATTGTTTTTTAATTTTAATTGTAATTCTGTTATATATATACACATATACATATTTGGGTGTTTTGTGGTTGTTATCTTACTCCACCAATTTTTTTAACTGTAGGTTTTAGCAGTTACTTAAGCTATTGTTTGGAAATAAATTATTTTAGTAATTTTTTGATTTTTTATAAAAAACATGTAAAAAAGTAAAAAAAGTGATGCGACAATTTATAGTGATTTTTTGATTTTTTAGCTAAAATGTATGGTTGACAAATGGCGTTTTCTAAGTTTTTTTTGTGTTCTAATTTTTAAATACTAGTTCTCAACTGTGAATTCCATTCAGTGTGTTTGGTTTGAGTTTTCTAGATTAAGTTTTTTGAAAACTGAGTTTTTTGATTTTCGTATTCTTTTGTTTTTAGTGAATATTTTTTAAATTTTAAACATTTCTTTTATTTTTTTAGATGCATCTTAGTTAGATGTATTTAAAAAGTAAAAAATTTGTGAAAAAATATTTTAAAAAATTAATAAATACATAGAAATACAAAAAATATACTAAATTCTTGTATTTATTTTTTGTATTTTTGGTATTTAGTGAATTTTTAAAAGATTTTTTTTACAATTTTTTTACTTTTTAGGTGTATTTATGTTAGGCGTGTCTAAAAAGTAAAAAAATTGCTTAAAATATTAAAAAAATTCAGTAAAAACAAAAAAACACGGAAATAAGAAAGTAAAATTTTCTGAAAAGTATTTTCTGAAAAATGAAAACAAGCAAGCTGATTGTTTTTTAATTGTTCATTTTGATAATTGTATATTCATCAAGAAAAATAGCTTGTAGCTCGAAATCCCCCAGGCTCGAATGGCTCGAAATCAAAACGTCGTTGTTTTGATTTTGATTTTTTTTTCCCCCTCTTTTATTTGTGAATCGTAAGAAGAAAGGAAGAGAAAGAGAGGGAAGGATGAAGAAAGAAAGAGAAGAGAGAAGAAAGAGAGAGAAAGGGAGAAAGGGCCGATCTGATCTTCTTCTTCCACTCTGCCCTTGCCATCACCGGCGACTGCCATCATCGGTAGATTTGTTTTCTCAAATTTTTTTTTTTCTCTAGATTTGAATATGAAAGAAAAAATTAAAAAAAAAAAAAAATTGTTGGCGGATGATGATGATGTTGATGAAGATGTTTTTGATTTTTTTGATTTTTTGATTTTTTATTCTAGTAGATCCAGATCTGAAGGTAAAGGAAAAAAAAAAAAAATATTGGCTGATTTCTATTCTGTTTGTTGTTATAGTTGATGATGATGATATGTTGTTGATGATGATATTCTCTTCCTTCTTCTTCCTTCTCCTCCTCTTCTTCTTCTTCCCTCTTTTTTCTCTCCGGCCTTCTTTTTTCTTTTCCTCTCTGTCTGAGTCAAAAATGATGAAAAAAAAAAAATAAAATCCAAAATGACGTCGTTTTGGTATTTCGGGCCACTCGAGCCGCGGGAAATTCGAGCTACCAAACGGAGTTGATTCATCAAATATGTTTTTGTTTTTATTACTGTTTGCAAATACGATTCACAGATAAATTGGAACAGGTAAAAAGATAGAATCTATCTGTTCAAATTATATGTGAATTTGACTATCTGTGAATCTATTTGAACAGAATCTATTTGAACATATAGATTCTATCTAAACAGGTAGATAAGGGAAAAAATTGTACAGATAGTCAAAAAAAATTGAATAGATAGGAATTTTTTTTGAACAAATAGTCAATGAAAGTCAATAGATAAATTAAGGAGTAAAATTAAAAATAAAAAGTTTTTCAAAAAAAAAAAAAGGATTTTTCACCAAATTATTTTATAAATGGTGAACTTTTTACTAACAAAAAATATTTATTAAATCTAATGTCTTATACATTCCTTATTTTGAACTTTTTAACAATTTATTTATTTTTATTTATTATTTTTTGAGTTCTAATTTTTGAATTGTAATTTTCAACTGTTTTTTAGTTGTTCAAATTGTTATTTCCAACTGTTATTAAACAAGAATGGCTATAATTAATGAAAGGGTGAAATTTGAATGAAAGTTGAAGGGTATTGCCACACCAATTTTGTGTTTTTGTTTTGGGTGATTATATTTACACATCATTAATGCTCTAACAAAAAATATTTATTAAATCTAATGTCTTATACATTCTTTATTTTGAACTTTTCAACAATTTATTTATTTTTATTTATTAATTTTTGAGTTCTAATTTTTGGATTGTAATTTTCAACTGTTTTTTAGTTGTTCAAATTGTTATGAAAAATGCTTGGGAGCACTAATTAGTGCTCCCACTAATTAGGTGGCAGTGGGTCCCGCCATTAATGATGTGATGTTTTGGTCTTGGAATTGTATTTTTTTTTTTGTTTTTACTTTTTTTATGCATTAGTGCTATTAGTGGTGATATTTTTAGTGGGATGAATCATTGTTGAATTGTTATTTCCAACTGTTATTAAACAAGAATGGCTATAATTAATGAAAGGGTGAAATTTGAATGAAAGTTGAAGGGTATTGCCACACCAATTTTGTGTTTTTGTTTTGGGTGATTATATTTACACATCATTAATGCTCTCAGTACATGCATCATTAATACTCTCAGTACATACTATTATTTAGTGTGCACACAATAATTTTTAGGGTTTAAAAATATCTCAGTTTACACCTTAACTTTCATTACTAATCCTATATTAACACACCAATAATTATTTGAATGCACACCATTACTCATAAGAACTCTTCATCTTTATCACTACACAACAAAAACTCTACAATCTTTAGAATAGAGATCGATAGAGACCATTTACATCGATTTTGATCTCCATCGTCACTGAAAGTTTTAATCGGCTTCCATCTTCGCTAGTGTTGATCTCTGTAGTTAGTGTTGAATTTTTGTCGTGTCTCATCTGGTCATTTCATCGTTTTGGATAACCGGCGAAGTGTTTCATTCGACCTCCATCTTTGCTGGTGTTGATCTTTATTATCGATTTTTTTTTTGATCGGTATCTTTATTATCGATTTTGAACTCTTATCTCTCATCATCGTTTTAAATTCATCAAATTAGTTATGTTCATAAATAAAGAGTTGAACAAACTTAATGTGTTTAAAAGTTTAGGGCAAATTACACAAATAGTCCCTATAGTCCCTACAAACTTAATGTGTTTAAAAGTTTAGGGCAAATTATACAAATAGTCCCTATAGTTTGAGACTTGTGTCACTTTAGTCATTGACTTTTTAATTGTGATACATTTGACCATAAATTTTGAATCTTGTTCCAAATAAGGATAATTGAATATATAATTAGATTTTTCAAGGGTAAAATTATCAATTTGATAAAATATAAAACTAATTTGACAAAAATAAATGTCAAACAAATATTTTTGAATTTTAAAAAATTATTTCTACATACTAAAAATAAAATTATGTAAAATTGATAAATCTTTTAGACATTTATTTGTTTTTTTATCAAATTAATTTTTATTATGTATTTGGATGATGATCATGTAAAATTAATTTTAAAAAAGTAATCATGTAATTTTTATTAATTTTACATAATTTTATCATTGATGGATAAAAATAATTTTAAAAAAATTAAAAATATTTTTTTGACATTTATTTTTGTCAAATTAGTTTATATTTTCTTAAATTGACGATTTTACCATTAAAAAATCTAATGATATTTTCAATTGTCTTTATTTGGAACAAAATTCAAAATTCAGGATCAAATGTGTTATAATTGAAAAGTCAGGGACCAAAGTGACATAAGTCCCAAACTATAGGAACTATTAGTGTAATTAACCCAAAAGTTTATATTTGAATAACGAATACAAGTTTAATTTATTTTAATCGAATTAACTTAAAATGTTCAATTTTTTATGTATGAACATTTAATATTTGGTTAATTTTAATAATTTGAATAAAATTATTTTGTTCAAATATAAATAATTGAGCATTGTATAAAAGTTCAACACGACGAACAAACTCATCTTTTCAATATATGAACGAGATAAATAAAAAACTAAAATATTAAGTCATAAATTAACATTTTCAATATTGAAATCAACACTTTCAATATTTATATTGGAACCAACTATCTTAATGTCATCCATGATGTGCAAATTTTCAAAATTAATTGCATTTAATGTTTTTAAATCCTAAATTTTCAAGGGTAATAATGTTTTGAGTTTGAAAGACAAGTATAATGGAGAAGAGAATGAAGTAAATTAATTGATAATAAATGATATTATAAGTGTATGTTAATGATGAAAAAATATAATATTTATATAACCTTAAACTCTATAGAAATGATGGTGCCTAAAGAGTATTTTATATTTTTAAATATGAAAATTTTGAATGTAGAACACACCTTATATTATCTTTAATGATCATTTTATTGAAGGATATTATTAGAATATAAATTTAGAAGGTTGTTATTAGCACTTACCTTATTTATTTAGACCCTCTCTTTTCTATTTTTTTTATTTCAATTTTGTCCAAAAATAAAATTTCATTTTTACCCTCATCTCTAGCCTTAATTTTCCCAACCATAACCCTAATTACATCAACACCCCCGCATCTCTCTCGTCGGCGCCAGCGCCACCC